GGGATCTTCCCGAAACGGGGCACGAACCCGCGTCTCCTGCATCGGCAGGCGGACTCTCAAGCACTGCGCCACCAGGGAAGCCCAGTTATATCTACTTTTATGGCTTCAGCTGGAGAAACACATGTCTGCTGTGGTTCCAGTTTATGCCTGTTAACCTGGGCTCCTGGGCTCTGGTAACTTTGCCTCTTTGCTTTGTCCCTTTGGCCTCATGGCTTCCAGCTGTAGCTAATCTCTGGGTTCCCTCAATGTTTTCTGTTTGCTTCTTAGCTCTCCCATCACCTGTGTAATCAAATTTCTGGATTAAATTCCTTCTTCTTACTCCTAGTGTTTGTATTTTCCTGAGTGGACCTTGATCGATGTACTTAACCATTACTGAATGATACTTATTGTGTAGATCTGAGTGGGAGAGTGATATGAAATCCAGGTGGCCTAGTAAATATGTAATGGACTGATGCAAACCCGAGGCTGGTATAATTCAGAGCCAACAAGGCTCACGTGTACAGATGGAGCATGAGACACAGAAACAAGATTCCTGCATTGTTTCCACCATTTCCTCTGGCTTGCTTAAATTAACCAAACATGAGTTTCAACTTTAAAAGTACCAATACCTTGAAATACTAGTCATGAATATAACAATATGATAGTATTTAGAAATGTGTCTTTATATGAACAGAAAGAATTTTGGTAAGAATAGGGAGGGAGACTTCATAAAAATATTGCAGAGGAATGAATGGGGAAAAAAAATGAAGCCCCTCACTTGAGAAGTCTGGATTTTTTTAAACGCATCTCTTGTATTTGTATTATTAAAACCTCTGAGTAATGAAGTTGCTGCTGATGGCATGCTAAGCGCCTGTATCATCTTCAATAGGTCTGGGGACAAATCAAAGGAGCTCTGATTTGAGGTTTCTCTCTTTTCACAAACATTTCCTGTAGTGAGGCAAACATCAACTCTTCAAGGTCTCTCATTTCTTTTTTTTTTTTTTTTTCCTTGCGTTATGCGGGCCTCTCACTGTTGTGGCCTCTCCCATTTGCGGAGCACAGGCTCCGGACGCGCAGGCTCAGCAGCCATGGCTCACGGGCCCAGCCGCTCCGCGGCATGTGGGATCTTCCCGAAACGGGGCACGAACCCGCGTCTCCTGCATCGGCAGGCGGACTCTCAAGCACTGCGCCACCAGGGAAGCCCCTCTCATTTCTTATTTAGAAGTTTATATTGTTGACTCAATTACTCTTAGGGTATTTTGGCAATGATCTGTTTCTCTTTATACACTGCACTAGGAGTCTAGTTAGAAACCAGTAAGAGTTCTTTGAATAAGCACAAGTATACCCCACCTGTGAGATGGACAGGTTTTTAGGATTATACAGACCCATATAAGAAACTACATTTATTCTACACTGGGGCACAGGCCAGAAGAATGTGTTCCCAGTCCTGCTGCCTTTTGTATTTCTAAGACACATGCCTGTGGCAGCAATTACTAAGGGATTATGCCTGAAAAGAGCTGTGAGAGAGAGCTCCTCTGTACTTTGTTGGAAGCCTCCAAGAACTAAATCAGTCACTTGTAATCAGTCACCTGACCACTTTTGTTCTTAGATTAAACACCCCTACTCCAAAAAAAAAAAACAACAACCCAAACTTATGTGGGGCAGGAGGCCATGTTGTACCTAAAAGACCAAGTCTTTTAAGAAGGGAAGAGATCCACTTCCTCCTAAATTTTCCTTGTTAAATGCTCAAACTGAGTCAGTAGCAGGACATGTTGTACCCAAGAGATAGTCTTTTTTTTCTTAAGAGAGGAAGATAAGCATCTTCCTTCTAATTTTTCCCTAGCTGATAAATACATAAAAATAAGTAAAGTAGTAAGACTTTGTTGTCATTTTTGAAAATATATTTAGTGAAAGATGTAGAATATTTGGTTTTATTTACTGCTTTGTGTGTGTGTGTGTGTGTGTGTGTGTGTGTATGTGTGTATCTGTCACACACACACAGTTTAGTGGGTTGTTAGCTAAGCTTCTTGGTTAATGTTGATTGCAAACATTATTCCAGAATCAGTTACCTGTATAACCCAGTGATTCCACTTCTCAGAGTGTACTCTATGGAAATAAATATCAAATATTTATGTAGCAGTATTGATTATAACAGCGAACATCAGAAGCAATCTAGGTGTCTAACAATAAGTGATTGATTTAATAAATTATGGCACATTATGCATTTGGAAACTATATAGCCTTTATATATCATTTTAAAAGATAATTTAGTGATAGAAAACACAAGCTTCACAGTCTGCAGGCCCAAACTCTGTTATTTGCCATCTGTGTTGGGTAGAGCAAAGTTTTTAACTTCATTAGGCCCCAGTTTTTTCATCTGGGAGTGATAAAACTTACCTTTAAGGTTTTTATGAGGATTTAAAGAGAACATGTGTAAAACCCTTTACAGAGTGCCTGGTGTAGTATACACACTCAATAAATGTTAACTATTACGTTTGCAAAGATAAGAATGTGCATAAGGATATGGAAAAATGTTAACTTTAAAACATGAAAAAAACAGTAATATTCAAATTTTCTAAAATCATACACAATCACAGAAGAGTGTAAAATATAAGCCAGCATGTCTAGAGAATTAACTGCCTCTCAAAAGGAAGATTATGTGCGGTTTAGTTTTTTCTTTGTATTCCTCTACAGTTTTAAAATGTTCTACATTTAACATATTAATTATATTTAAAAATAATTTTAGTAGGACTCACAACAGTGTAACTGTATTAATGTAGTATATGGAAAGTTGTTTATGGAATCGTTATTTATGAATGTGTGCATGTGTGTATAACTAAGATATACGTGAAAATTGTACTGCTGATGCCCCATCTGCCACCCCTACCGCCTCACCTGTTTTCATCATTGTTTCTTTTCTAGTATAGAGGACCTTTGTTTTGAAAATACAACTTCATGTACACAATTATTTTATAAACTCACGTATATAAAAAGTCAGAGAGGTACCTTCTGCTTAATATTGCTGTAAACCTAAAACTGCCCTAAAAAATAGTCTTTAAAAAAAGTCAAAGAAGGGACTTCCCTGGCGGTCCAGTGATTAGGACTCCGCACTTTCACTGCTGGGCCTGGGTTCAATCCCTGGTTGGGGAACTAAGATCCCGCAAACCACGCTGGCACCACCAAAAAAAAAAATAGTCAGAGAAATGCGAGATATACAGGGTAAGATTTGAGACCACCTCCAGTAGAGTCTTTCCTCCCACCACCTAATTACCAGCTCCTTAGGTAACTGTGCCGGTAGGTATGTCTTCTTACAGACCTTTGTGTATGCATATTCATACTTATGTATCTGTGCTTTTAAAATTACATAAATGGAAGGATATTTTTCATACTGTTCTGGGCCTTGCTTTTTTAAGTTAACAATATAAATTAGAAGTCTCCCTTAGTTCATAAAATTCTATGTCGGCATTCTTTTTAGCACCTGCAGGGTTATTCTGTAGCATGGGTGGACCATAATTTATTTGACTATATTTTCATTTAGTTTAGTTTCATTTTGCTCATAAAAACTATTCTGTTTTTGTGTTTTAAGGAATGTTCTTATACGTATATCTTTATAGATATGTCCAATTTTTCTGTAGGATAGAGTCTTAGAAGTGAAATTGCTGCATCCAAGGGTATATGCATTTGAAATATTGATAGATGCTGCCTTGCAAAGGGTTTTATAATTTATGTAGCTACCTATAATATATGTAAATGTATATGTGTAGATATAACCCTGACTTTTGCCAACACTGTATATTGTCAATCTTTCAAAACTTTGATTCACAGGAAAAAAATGGTATCTCACCATTTAATTTCCATATTAAAGATTGAGATTGAGTATATTTTTATGTAGTAAACATTCAAATTTCTTTTTCTGAAACTTACTTTTTAAAAAATCCTTAGCTCAGGTTTCTCTTGGGTTATATTTTTACTATTGATTAATCAACTTTTAAATATTTGAATATTGTTTATGTTTTAAATATTTATTCATGTTAAATTTTTTAATACTATCATTAGCGATATGTTTTCTTTTTTTTTTTTGCGGTACGCGGGCCTCTCACTGTTGTGGCCTCTCCCGTTGTGGAGCACAGGCTCCGGACGCGCAGGCTCAGCGGCCCATGGCTCACGGGCCCAGCCGCTCTGCGGCATGTGGGATCTTCCCGGACGGGGGCACGAACCCGTTTCCCCTGCATCGGCAGGCGGACACTCAACCACTACGCCACCAGGGAAGCCCATGTTTTCTTTTTTAACATCACTTCAGTTTTATGCCTTTCTTAGAAAAGTCTTTATCACTCCAAATTATTAAAAAATCCTCCATTTTCTTCTAGTATTTTTGTTTAAACATTTATATCTTGAATTCATTAAAAACACATTTGTGTGTACAGTGCGTTAGGGATCTAAATTTATTGTGTTCCAAATAGGTTATCATGTACCTTGATTCTAATAGTCTGTTTCTGATTATTTTAAATGCCATGTTTACCATATGAGCAAAGTGCTCATAGGTACCAGAGTCTGTTTCTGGGTTTTCTAGTCTACCCTACTTTTGATCTACTTGTCTGTTTCTTTACCAACATCACACAAATTAAATTATTATCACGCTATAGGATACCGCATCTACTGGGACAGGTTATCCCTGTTTTTTTGTTTTTTTCCTTCAGAATTGCCTTGAGTGTTCTCGCTTGTATTGAATTTTAGCATCAGCCTATGAACTTGAATAATTTGATTATAATTTTTGTATGGATTACATTGAATTTATAGTTTAATTGGGAGAAACTGACATCATATTATGCATCTTTATTTAGGTAGGTCTTCTTTTTAGTGATTTTTCTTCATAGAAATCGTATACATTTCTTGTTAGATTTATTCTTTAATACTTAATATATTTTTTTCTTGGTATTGTGAACACATTTTTCTCCTCATTGGATTTTCAAATCAGTTACCCCTGGTCTATAGGAAAGACACTAATTATTTCATTTTATTCTTGTATCTTGTAGCCATCCTGATTCTTAAAAATTCATTATTATAGTTGTTATATCATTTATCTCTCATTTTCTAGGAATACTATTATATATTTAAAAAGAGTGAGAGTGCTTTACGATTTTCTTTAGAATATATAAAACTCTTAGTTTTACTTTTAAATGCATTTGCTAATGCATTCTGGAATAATATTGGAGACTAGCAATGACAGTAGGAGCCTTGTCCTCCTCTTCCCTTAATTAGAAATGTGTTTAGTATTTGACTATTAAATATGAGGCTTGTTATAGATTTTTATAGACATATTTTGTCAGGTTATGGAATTTTTCTTCTTCTCGATCTTCAACAACAGGAATGGTGGTTAAATTTGTTTTCAATTGCTTTTCAGTACTTCTCAATACGTTTATAAAGATGTTCTCTTTTTCTGTTAGTATAGTGAATTATAATAATCCTTTTTGTAATGTTGAACCATTCTTGGATGACTGGTGTGCACACTACCACACACACACACACACGTACACCATTCTGTCTTTGGTTTTAGTACCAAGTTTCTGAGATATTCATTGAAGCTATTGGGTGATTTTTTCCATATTTTATTATGTACTTGGTAATTTATACAACGCTCCCAAAAAGCTGTTAGTTTTTTTGGCTTGTTTTCTGTTTAATTGATTTATGCTTTTATTCCTTCTGTTTAATTATTATTTTATTTTTTATTTTTTGAGAGTCTTGAGTTGGATGTTTCATTTGCTTCTGGTCTTTTTTATTTTTCAATATTGCACCTAAGTCTGTTTATATTTTTCCTTTCAATAACATTTTGCTTTCAACTCTGAAGAGCATGTGTGATTTTATAGCTATTTCTAAATAGTTTGAAAATTGTTAATTTTTTCTTTCTCCCAAGGATTACTTAGAATTACTTTATTTTTACCTAAGTAGATAGAATATGGTCTGTAGGATTTACTTCTTAGAATTTATTAGACTCTATTTTGTGTCCTCACATGTGGTTCATTTTACTAATGATTATGCAGGTATTTGAATAAAAATCTGTTTACTGTTTCTGGGGCCCATAGACCAATGTCTTCTCTGTATTTATTTATTTTTATGTATTTTATATATTATATAAATGTTATTATATGTTACATAAATATATATTAAACATATAAATATATATTATTTTTTGTCTTTCACTTGACAGTAACTGAAAGAAGATATAATACTTTATCATTTTATTTTATTATTATTATTATTTTTTGCAGTACACGGGCCTCTCACTGTTGTGGCCTCTCCTGCTGCGGAGCACAGGCTCCGGACACGCAGGCTCAGCGGCCACGGCTCACGGGCCCAGCCGCTCCGTGGCATGTGGGATCTTCCTGGACCGGGACACGAACCCATGTCCCCTGCATCGGCAGGCGGACTCTCAACCACTACACCACCAGCGAAGCCCTATAATTTTAAAAAGAATGCTGTTAAAATAAAAAATACACATTGGACCGTGGTCTTCAAACTCTTTTCAGAGGCTGCTTTTTTCCTGGTTGTTGGGGGAGAATGGCCACCCAGCTATAGGTCCGGCACTTTTCTTCATGCACTTGAGAACAATAGTCAGTTTTTGAGACGACCAGAGGGAGACATGGAGACAAAGGCAGGGAGACCTTGTTCAGATGTTTAGTACCTATTTTTGAAAAATAGTCTCTGTCTCTAGTTTTAGTCATATCTAAGGCGTTAATAGTTAAAACTGCGTTTTCTGGTATTTTATGCATGGCCTAACATTTATTTGAGTTTGATGTGTTGGTATGATTTTTTTGTTTTCTCCCTATAGTGAGGTCCAGGAGCCAAAGGAATCACCACCACCTCCTAAAACCTCAGCAGCTATGCAGTTGGAGGAGCTGATGGCCCACCTGTGTGAAATGCAGACCCAGGTGAGCACAGTCCCTGCGATACAGCCTTCAGGGTCTTATCTCTGTGAACTCAGCTCTGCATTCCCCCTTGATAAACTCTCCTAAGTCATTATTCATTTTGCCATACTAAATTTAATTCAATGGATTAACTCAAATTTATACTATGTATTTTTTTTAAACTGAAGTATACTTGATTTACAATATGTTGTATTAGTTTCAGGGGTGCAGCAAAGTGATTCAGTTGTGTGTGTGTGTGTGTTTGTGTGTGTGTGTGTGTATAACTGATTCTTTTCCCTTATAGGTTATTACAAAATATTGAGTATAGTTCCCTGTGCTATCCAGCAGGTCCTTGTTGTTTATCTGTTTTATATATAGTAGTGTGTATATGTTAATCCCAAACTCCTAATTTAACCCCCGCCACCCCTTTACCCCTTTGGTAACCATAAGTTTGTTTTTTATGTCTGTGGGTCCATTTCTGTTTTGTATATAAGTTCATTTGTATCAATTTTTTTTTTTTTTTTTGCGGTATGCAGGCCTCTCACTGTTGTGGCCTCTCCTGTTGCTGAGCACAGGCTCCGGACGCGCAGGCTC